ATTGCCCAACCTTCCTTCCAAGGAGTGGCTGGTGGGTTTGAAACACCAGCCTTCTGGTTAGCAGTCAAGTGCCTTAGGCACTATGCTACCAGAGCTCCTACTAAGTTACAAACCTTTGCTTGCATCTGCTGTAGATCCTGTTCTAGCCTTTCCTTTTCTTCTCTTAGCATTTTATTGGTCTCCATAACTACATTCATTGTTTCTGTTTTCTTCATCAGTTCTTCATGCTGGGCCATTGTTTTTGCAGTTACCTGAAAATTACAACATATATTTACACCATTATCTAATAATAAATCAAACCAAACACACTGCTGTTGAGTCAGATCCAATCATAGGGACCCCTCCTTGGGTTTCTGAGGTGGTATCACTACAGAAGTAGACTGCCCAACCTTCCTTCTGAGGAGTAGCTGGTATCTAATAATAGGTGGTTGAAATGAAGGGCTACCTTCCTCTACCAGGATATAACAGCTAAGGAGAAAACATTTCTAATCCATCCTACCAATAAAGTAGAAAGGATTTAATTTAAACTTTTAAAACTAAAACTGCTGAAGGTTTACATGTTTACTTTTCTATGACACATGCTAATTATAACTACAAAGATTTAAAACAATGTAAGAAATTACAAAGATGACGGTAAAGAGATTAGACCTATCTGTTATGAACTGAATTGTGTCCCTCAAAAATTTGTGTTATAAATCGTAGCCTCTATGCCTGTGGTTATAACCTATTTGGGAATGGGTTATCTTTATGTTAATGAGATACGAATACTACAGGGTACATCTTGTGCAAATGTCTTTTCAGATACAAGGAATGGAATAAACAATAAGGAATAAGGACCTTCCTCAAGAGCCAAAAGACAGAAAGCCTTCCATAGAGTCCACGTCTGAACTGGACTTTTAGTTCCCCAAACTGTGAGAAAATAAATGTTAAAAGCCACTCTTTTGTGGTTATTTCTGTTATACCACACTAGATAAATAAGACAATATTCTACAAATACTATCAGTATTACATAAAAACACCTTTCCAAGTCTCTACTTAACCTTTCTGTATCTATTATTTTCCTCGTTGCAATGCATTTATTGTTCTGACATGCTTATTATTTTGGTTCTCTGTTGTTCAGAAATTCTTTTTCATTTTGCTGTTTCATCATTTTAGTTTTGAGAAATTTTACTCAGTATTTGTTCAAATGTAAAGAACTTTTTTTCTTTTCACTGGATATTACTATCCTTTATGTACATAATATTATGTTCTTCCTACTTTTTAAAAAATATTTTAGTACATTTCAAGACTGCCATGCTATACAGTTCATGCCTCAGCAGACATTTTATTAGTTTTTTATATAAGTAGATTACTTCTTCACTCTCTTTTTACTGTACCTAAAAATTGGTGTTTTCCTTCGAACTTTTATAGGCTATGCATTTTCTAGTAGTATTTGCTTTTCTACAGTCTGGACAAACAGCAAATAAAACTGAAGAGAATAAAAGAATATGCAATCTTTGTTGTTGTTAGGTGCCGTCAAGTTGTCTCTGTCTCACAGTGACCTTATGTACAACAGAACAAAACACTGCCCAATCCTGTGCCAGCCTGATCCCTGTTATACAGGAGCCCACCGATGCAGCCAATGTGTTAATGCATCTTGTTGAGGGCCTTCCCCTTTTTCGTTGACTCTCCACTTTACCAAGCATAATATTCCTCTCCAGAGAAAGGTCTCTTCTGATAGTATGACCAAAGTAGGTGAGATGAAGTTTGGCCATTTTCACTTCCAAGGTGCATTCTGGCTACACTTCTTTGATAACAGATTTGTTAGTTCTTTTAGCAGTCCATGGTACTCTCAGCACTCTTCTTCAACACCACAACTCAAAAGCATCAACTCTTCTTCTGTCTTCCTTATTCACTGTGCAGCTCTCACATGCATATGAGGCAAATGAAAATACCATGGCTTGGATTTGGCATACCTTGGTCTTCGAGGAGACATCGCTACTGTTCATCATTTTAAAGAGGTCTTTTGCAGCAGATCTGCCCAATGCAATACATTGCCTGATGTCTTGACTGTTGCTTTCACCGGTGTTGATTGTAGAACTAAGAAATAAGAAGTCCTTGGTAACTTCAATCTTTTCTCCATCCATCGTGAAGTTGTTTACTGGACCAGTTGTAAGGATTTTTGTTTTCTTTATACTGAGGTATATAATCCATACTGCCGACTATAGTCTTTAATCTTCATCAGTAAGTGCCTCAAGTCATCCTCACTTTCAGCAAGCAAAGTTATGTCACCTGCGTATCGCAAGTTGTTAACGGGTCTTCCTCCAATCCTGTTGCCATGTTCTTCTTCATACAGTCCAGCTCCTTAGATTATTTACTCAGCGGACAAACTGAATAAGAATGGTGAAAGGATACAACCCTCATGCACTCCCTTCTTGATTTTCAATCATGCAGTATCCCCTTGTTCTGTTTGAATGATAGCCTCCTCCTGGTCTATATACAAGTTCCTCATGAGAACAATCAAGTGTTCTGTAATTCCCATTCTTTTCAATGTTATACATAATTTGTTATGATCCACATGATCAAATGCTTTTGGATAGCCAATAAAACATAAATAAACATCTTTCTGGTATTCTGTGCTTTCAGCTAAGATGCATCTGACATCAGTAATGATATCCCTTGTTCCACATCCTCTTCTGAATCCAGCTTGCATTTCTGGAAGTACTCTGTCAATACACTACTGCAACCATTTCTGAATTATGTTCAGTAAGATTTTACTTAAATGTGGTATCAATAATTTCCACATGCTGTGGGATCACCCTTCTTTGGAATGGGTACAAATAGGGATCTCTTCCAGACAAATGGCCAGGTAGCTGTCTTTCAAATCTCTTGGCATAACGAAGTGAGTGCCTCCAGCACAGCATCTGTTGTTGAAACCGATTCTGTCAATTCCTGGAGCATTCTTCTTCACCAATTCCTTCAGTTCAGCTTCGACTTCTTCGTTTAATACCACTGGTTCTTGATCATATGCCACTGAAATGGATGAACATTGACCCATTCTTTCTGGTACAGTGACTCTGTGTATTCCTTCCATTTTCCTTTGATGTTTCCTGCATAATTTAATATATTGCCCACAGAATCTCTCAATACTGCAACTCCAAGTTGAAATTTTTTCCTCACTTCTTTCAGCTTGAGAAATGCTGTGTTTTTCCCTTTTGGTTTTCTAACTCCAGGTTTTTGCACTTTTCATTAAATAATTAACTGTCTTCTCGAGCTGCTCTTTGGAAACTTCTTTTCAGCTCTCTTATCTTGTCATTTCTTCCAATTGCTTTGGCTACTCTCTGCTCAAAGGCAAGTTTCAGAGTCTCTTCTGACATCCATTTTGGTCTTTTCTTCCTTTCTTGTCTTTTTAACGACCTCTTACTTTCTTCATGGATGATGTTCTGATGTTGTCCCACGATTCCTCTGATTTTTGGTCTGTGGTGTTCAAAGCATCAAATCTATTCTTTAGATGTTCTATAAATTCAGGAGGAATATAAATAATCAAGGTCATATTTTCACTCTCGTGGACTAGTTTTAATTGTCTTCAGCTTCAACTTGAACTTGGAAATGAGCAGTTGATGGTCTGTTCCACAATCAGCTCCTAGTCTTGTTTTGGCTGAAGATACAGAGCTTCTCCATTACCTCTTCCCACAGATGTAGTCACTCAGATTCCTGTGTACTCCTTCTGGTGAAGTCCACATGTATGGCCGCCATTTTGTGTTGCTGAAAAAAGGTACTAGTAAGGAGCTCTGGTAGCATAGTGCCTAAGGCACTTGACTGCTAACCAGAAGGTTGGCGGTTCAAACCCACCAGCCACTCCTCGGAAGGAAAGTTGGGCAATCTACTTCTATAGTAATACTGCCTCGGAAACCCAAGGAGGGGTCGCTATGAGTTGGGGCTGACTCCACGGCACAAAACAACAACGAGTAAGTCACTAGTCTTGCAAAATTCTGTATCATGTAATCTCCAGGGTTGTTTTTATCACTGAGGCCCTATTTTCCAACTACCAGTGATTCTTCCGTTTCCAACTTCTGCATCCAATTACCAGTGATAATTAACATGTCTTCACTGCATGTTTGGTCCATTTCAGACTGCAGAAATTGATAAAAATCTTCAATTTCCTCATCTTCAGCTTTGGTGGCTGGTACGTAAATTTGAATAATAGGAGTAGTAACTAGTCTTCCTTGTAAGCATATGGGTATTATTCTATCAGTGACAGCACTGTAGTTCAGGATAAATTTGTTATGTTCTTTGTGATGACGAATGCCATGCCATTCCTCTTCAATCTGTCATTTCTGATATAGTAGATCATATGACTGTCTGATTCAAAATGGCCAAAACCATCCATTTCAGCTCACTAATGCCTAGGATATTGATCTTTATGCATTCCATTTCATTTTTGACAACTTACAATTTTCCCAGATTCATACTTCGTACCTTCCACATTCCGAGTGTTAATGGGTATTTGCAGCTATTTCTTCTCATTTTGAGTTGTACCACAGCAGTCATGGAGGTCCCAAAAGCTGTACTCTATCCACATCATTAAGGTTGGATCTACTCTGAAGAGGTAGCTCTTCCACAGTTATATTTTGAGTGCCTTCTGACCTGAGGGGCTCATCTACTGGCATCGTATCGGACAACATTTCAGGGCTATTCATAAAGTTTCCAGCAACGTATCAGGCAGTGTTTCACTGCTATTCATAAGGTTTTCCCTGGCCAACTCTTTGATAAGTGGAAGGCCTCTTCCTTCTTCTGAATCTTAGTCTCTGTAAGTTCTGCTGAAACCTGTCCACCCCCTCACTGTGCCTGGCTTGCTTGCCTGGCCAACCTCTGGTATGCCAATCACCCGCTTGCCCTCCACACCCAGCTCACTTACCCAGCCTGCCCTTGGTGCTCCAAACACCCGCCAGCTTTGTACGCCCGGCTCACTTGCCTGGCCTGCCTCTGGCACTCCAAACACCCACCTACCTCATGTGCCCAGCAATCTTTGTTAGAAATCTTGATTTTGCCTCTCCCCCAACTGGTAATGTTAACTTTACTGAATAAGAGGGTCTTTTTATTATTTCCATGAGAAGATACATTTGAATTTGGATTGTTTCCTCAACAGAATGTAATTTTAGAACTTTCAATTTCTGTCAGAAAATATAAATCCAATTATTCATTTAACCTTGTTGCAATATGTTTTCCTTAGCTATCATTTCAACTACCCTCAGTTAAAAGAACAATGATTTATGCTGTTATTGCCCTTCCCTCCAGTTATGGGGTGTATGTTGGGTGCTAGCATGGGTTACTGAGTTGAGCCTGTGTTGTGACCATTCATTCCACTGAAAGCAAAACAAAGTAAAACCACCCCAAACTCCCTGCCATCAAGTCGATTCCAACACAGAATGACCCCCGCTGGGTTTCTAAAGCAGTAAATCTTTATGGAAGTAGACTGCCCCATCTTCCTTCTGCAGAGCAGCTGGTGGGTTTGAATTGTCAAACTTTTGGTTGGCAGTCAAATGCCTTAGGCATTGCACCACAAGAGTTCCTTATGTCACTAAAGCATCTTCATTTTCTTTCTTTGGGTTTTAATTTTAACTATATTTTGCTCTTTACGGGCTTGTAGCAGTTTCAACCTACTATTTTATCCTAGAATTACTGCTGTTGTTGTTATTTGCTGTTGGGTCGGGCCTGACTCATAGCGAACCCTCCTTGGGTTTCCGAGGTGGTATCACTACAGAAGTAGATTGCCCAACCTTCCTTCCGAGGAGTGGCTGACGGGTTTGAATCTCCAGACTTCTGGTTAGCAGTCAAGTGCCTTAGGCACTATGCTACCAGAGCTCCTTAGAATTACTACCCCAATGTATATATAACAACTGTAGTAATAAACTAAGGTATCTGAAATGTATTTAGCACTCTGTCCTGAGCATGATTCTAAATATTTCTATACACTAACTACTTTATCCTCACTATTATTATGCTAGTAGTAAAAAGGAGGAAAAATAAAAAATCACAGAGAAGCTAAACAGTTTATCCAAGAGCAGACTGCTAATGGTGTAAGCTGGAATTCGAAATTGTGTAGTCTAGTTACAGAGTCTTCACTATTACCTATTATACTGTATTAGTATTTAAATTTTTCAAATTAAATGTTACTAAGGAGCTCTGGTAGCATAGTGGCTAAAGCACTTGACTGCTAACCAGAAGGCTGGCGGTTCAAACCCACCAGTCACTCCTTGGAAGGAAGGTTGGGCAATCCTACTTCCGTAGTGATACTGCCTCGGAAACCCAAGGAGGGGTCGCTATGAGTCGGGGCCGACTCGACGGCACATAACAACAAACAACAACAAGAAACTTAAATGGGGTCTTCTCTTTCAATTTAAAAATTGCTTTCTTAAAGCTTACCTGGACTTTTTCCCTTTCAGCATTTAGACTATCCTGCAGTTCCTGAAGCTCTCTTTCTAAAAGTTCAACTCTTTGTCGGTAACGCAGACTCTCAACCTGTGCCACCTCAAATCTAGTTTCAGCAATTTCTTTTTCTCGCCGTATAAATCTACAGAAATATAAGTGTAAGATTTTATTTGAATAAAAAAATGCCAACAATAATCAAAATTTACATAATTTTTAAGATGACAAAAAATCACTCATTTTACTATTTCCACAAATAGTAATGTTTCAATTAATATGTAATGGGAGATAATTCTACTTTTTATTATAGACAGTAACTTTAGATGTGTATCTTTAAAGAGATGTGAAAAGCATTTAGCTTTTCTCACCCCCAGAGGAGGGCTCTCAGTCTAATAGTTAACAAGACGTACATGCAGACCACTCAACCCAGGATGACGCACCCACATACTCTATGGCAATACATCCCTAGAGCAATAGACCATGGGACACCAGAGGACCAACATTCAAACTGAGGAAATGCAGGATAAACAGGAGTGCATAATTATGGGGGCACAGGGGGAGGCTTGCAGGGTAGGGAGGGGAGGAGACTGGGTTAGGGTTGGACATTGTGAATGGGGAATGAAACTAAACTTATGCATGACATTGAATGTAAAACAAGCTCTTAAAATAAAAATAATTAAAAAAAGCATTTAGTTTTTCAATGGAAAATGACTCAAGCTCTACCAGATTCAAGTTGAAGTCATTTGTTTAAATCAGCATGTGTCTAAATGTCGAAAGTGGCCACTAATTTAGTGGTGGTAGGTTTTTTGACTAGTAAGAGACAGAATGATGGTATTCCCAAACAATGTATAATCTCTTCTAATTTATGCATTTGTAGTTTCATTGTATAGCTGTATAAAAGAGGTTTGAATATATTAGATTTATCCCATACAGCAGGGCAGTGTTTGCACAGGGAGCTAGCTCAGGGGGTGGGAATGCATGGGAGGGAAGGACTTAGGGAAGAGGTAACTACGGGAAAGAAGTAGGATGAGAGCTGTTACATTGTGGGGAATTATAGTCAGTGTCATGAAACAAAATGTATGTGAAATGCTGTACAGAAAATGAACTTGTTCTGTAAACTTGTACCCAAATCACAATAAAAATTAAAATAAGAGAATATATTAGATTTACCTGAGAATTTCTAAAATTTGTTCTTCAGATTTTCCTTCTTCACTGAGAGATATATTCAATGGACCTTGTATACCTTCCTTCATAGAGGCAACTACCTTGTCACTTAACTTTTCAATTTGATCATGAAGTAATCTGTTTTGTTTCTCTAGATCTTCACAACGAGACACACACTTGGAAACTTCATCCTATAAGCCAAGAGTCTATCATAATAGCAGATTTTCCAATATACGTTAAAAAAACAAACAAACAAACCTAAAGAAAACCTTCTAATTCCCTAGAACATTATATTATGATCTACAGCAATACCTTTAACACTCTCTCTCTCTCCTCCCAAGATGCTTTACACTCCAACAACTGTGATTCTGCTTTCTGGGTTGTTTCTTCCAAATGCTGACGGACTGATGCCATTTTTGAAACCTGTTCCTTGGCAGCTTGTAAAGCTTCAACATCAGCAGCATGTAGCATCAATTCTCTTTCATATTTATTTTGAGCTTCCACAGCTATTTTAGCCTGCGAAAGATCATTCCTTCATCGTCATAAAAGATTAAAATCTACAAAGGTAGTCAGTACTTTTCAAGAATATCAAAGAACTGTTCAAAGTTGAAACTTATGAAAACTAAGTAGAAACTCTCAACAAACTTTATGAAATAGAAAGCTAAATAGAACACATGCAAAATAAAATACATACAGTAATAATTCTGAATATAACATATATAAACATATACCCTACATATAAACATAAGAACTTAAAGAGAATACAAGGAAATGAAAATCATTTGAATATTGAGTTATGGATATATTCTTTGATTTTAATTTCTCCTGTTATGCTGTTTGGCAATAAGTCAAGAATAACTCATTTTTGTCTAATTTGCCCTTGAAGTATTTTCCTTTATATTCCATTTTGAATGTAATATTTGATACAATACATAACGTTACATATATGTAAATAATAATAGTAATCAAATGAACAGCCATCAATGTATCCCTCAAAAAATTAGAACTTTTCCAATATCCTTACATATATTCATTTTTGAACCTACATTTCAATAATTGCCACTGTTTCAAATAATTTTATCATTTTTCTATTCCTAAGAAAATGTAAAGTTTCATCACATACAAATGTGTGGGTATGCATGTGTATTTTAAAAAAAACACGAAATTCACTGCCACTGAGTCAATGCTGACTGACAGTGACACCCTTTGGGTTTCCGAGGTGGTAAATCTTTACAGAAGTAGGGTGCCTAGTATTCCTTCCATAGAGTGGCTGGTGGGTCTGTACCACCAACCTTTTGGTTAGTAGTCAAATGCCTTAGGCACTATGTCACCAGAGCTCCTTATACGCATGTGTAAACTCATACTTAAATATCATAATGTGATCCTTTTTCAAAACTTCAGAGAAAGCAGTGCATAGTCTTTCTGGAACTGACTCTTGTCATTCAACACGACGATGAGTGAACTAGTCATCTATGGCATTGTGCATAGATAGCTATAGTTTTCTCATCTTCAATAACATTGCTTTGTGAAAAATTATGTAATTTTAGTTTTTTGAAGTGGTGTGGCTAGGAAATCCGTAAACTCAGCAATACATTAACAAATGATCTTATCAAGAGCTCCCTGTTGTTGCAGAGTAATACCTTTGACTATTCCATCTACCTTTTTTTCCCTACTTGCCAAGACTGATTTGTTAGGAGATACTGTACCATTTACTTTTAGCCTTCATCTATGTGTTTCAACTTATGTTAGGCCAAGTTCTATGAAAACAGAAATAATCTTGCATTTTGTAAGGGGCCCCCAGTCCCCAAAATGCATTGATGTATTCCAAGAACTGTTTAAGATCAAAGCTCATTTCTCAATAACTGATTGTAAGAGTAACACTTACTTGTTCCTGACAGTCACGTCTGGCTTGCTGTTCATTACTCAAAGCTGTACTTGCTCTCTGAAGAGCTTCTTGTACTTCATTCTGAACACTAGAAAGTGTTTTCTTTAACTCAGACAGCTAAATAAAAAGAACATTAAAACCAGTGTTAACTGCAAACTTACTTTAAAAATCCTGAAGCTAGATTTTTAAAAACACAGTCCAAAGGAGTGCTGATTAAATTTAAAATAGTCATAACCTAATCAACCATGTAAGTTTTACAGCTCTATGCCACTTCCTACTAATTTTGCAAAAGGTAAGTCTCAGGCAAAAGCTTCTAGGAAAAAAAGTACTGGATACCTACTACCATAAAGTAGTTTGAAAATTTCAAAAGGAAATGATTAAGGAGTAACACCTAAAGCTAAAAACTCTTGATTACGTGTTCAATGAGTATTTATTGAGATAAACTAAGTGGTGACCTAGTGAGTTAGTCAGAATAATTCAAATCCTCACACCAAGAAGATTAATATGGTTAAGAACCTAATTTACCTGTTGTTCCATGCTCTCTATGGCTTTTCTCTTGTCATCCTGGAGTTCTTGTTTTTCTTTCTCTACTTCCATCAACTTCTTTTCCAACTGTGTCTGAAACTCAGCTGACTCTTTTAAACGAACTTCAATATTCTTACGTACTTCTTCTGTCACCTTCACATCATGCAAACAATAGGACAGAAAAATTTATAATTATATAATTCTAAATATCTCCAAATCTAAATTAAATTTGAGAAGCAGCACTGAAGTTAACATTTGCTTTATTAACAACAACAAAATCCATCATATACTGATTAGTTGGCTCAAAAACAAAGCAAAAATAAAATTCAAAAATTTAAGTACAATTTTGCTCTCAATTTGGCTACTGTCCATTCTTCTCTTTTGAAATGTAATTTCCAGTCTTTTCATTTCTTCTTCAATCCTCACATTCACAAACCAAATCTATTCTACCACCGAAAGATTTCTTTCTCATAGTATTTTTATTTCCACTGGTGCCAACTGCAAAAAAAAATCTTCAAAAACTGTGGCCTTAGACTACAGCTAGTCTCCAAAATAAACTCTGAATCTTCTAATCGACCACACTAATTCTATTTAGAAAGCTAAATAAAATTAGTTCTGGTTATGATTCTGATTAAAAGATTTTCAATGGCTCTTAATAAACCTACAGAATATGACACTCAAAGTCTTTCACATTTGTTTGTCAACTACTTTTTAAATTGTATCTCTCACTTTTTCACCTCAGAAATTCAGCACACTAGTCAAACTATATTCATCTTCTTTTTTCCTTGACTGAGGGTTCCCACTACATAGAATAACTTTCTACTATTCATGAACTATCAAAATGTTACGTTCCCTCAAGGCTCTGCACATATGCTCTCTCTCTTATAAAGTCATCATTCCCAGACAAATAATTTCATCTACCTGTCATTCTCCTCACCATGTAATCTGTACCCTTCCTATAGCAATTATTCCTACACCTTTTGTTTGAATTTTGTGTGCTTTCATCTGGATTATTAGACTAAAGAACTTTTAAGAGACAAGGTTAATAATATAGTCCAATTCAGTTCCCACAATACCTTATATATAGTAAACTCCTAATGGGGGTGGGGCAAGATTAATAGATGTGTTCACAGTGAATTCAGAAGTATACATACCTGTTTTTCCTTGTTGAGGGATTCTTCTAAACTAGTAACCATTGCTCGATACTGTTCCACATTACTAGTACTTGTTTTGAGTCTCTCCTTCAAATCATTCACCTGTTCTTCTGTTTGCCTTAGCTGACTCCGAAGCTCATCCACATCTTCTTTGTCACTAGGCTGGCCTAAAAATGAAGTAGGTCTATTAAAATTAGCATGTTAAACGATATAGAGATAGTTATCAAAGACACTGTGAAATTAAGAGCAAGGTTAAAGTATATTTAACTATCTAGACTGTATATTTCAATTCATGTTGAACACCAAAATAAAAACTAACGAACATTTCTGCTTTATATTACATCCTCAAAAAAATTCAGTTATTTCAAATCTGTTGTTATATAAATTAAGAAGAGAATATTTAAGAGAATTTCAAATATTTTTAATAAACTGAGGAAGATACTTGAGTATGATTCATAATCTATTACTTAACCATTAAACATTACTGATTACTCCAATATACTAACTTTTCTATCATTTAGCTCAATTTTTGTTCTTTTTAGAATGCCTGGGAAAAACGAAGAAATTTCAAGTTAAAAAGACATTTTCCTATTGTATGATACCACAAAGAGAGGACTACTGGTTAATTATGTATCATACACACACACACTATGTAATTACACATAAATACATGTGTATGCTTGTTCAGGTGAGCCCTGGAGCCCTAAAAGTTGAGCACTAAGCTTCTAACCAAAATGCTGGCAGTTCAAACCCACCCAGCAGGTCCAAGGGAAAAAAAGCCAACAGATCTGCTCCCATAAAGATTAGTCTTGGAAACCCCTGGGATAGTTCTACTCTGTCCTGTAAGGGTTGCTATGAGTTGTAATCTACTTGGCACCACACAACATACTTACTAAACCAAACACACTGCCACTGAGTTGGATCTGACTCACAACGACCCCTCCTTGGGTTTCCAAGGTGGTATCACTATGGAAGTATATTGGCCAACCTTCCTTCCAAACATACTGATTATATGTATAATATTTATAATATGTATCCTTTTATTTCTCTTACCGGGAAATGAAACCATGTGAAAATTACATTACCTAGCTACAAATGCTTTAAATTTAAAGTGGCTGCTCTGTATTCACAAAAGGAAGCAAAATCCAAATAAATCCTTTTTAATAATTTAGAAAGATCAGGAATACTGCTCTAAAAAGACACCAAGAAAGCAATTATTTCTCTTAAACTAACCTTACCATTACAGACTTAGTTAATACTTAACATTTGAATCTTAACAGTTCAAAGGAAATCTTTCCTTAAAAAATATTTTTAAAGTATCAATAAATGCTCTCAACAAATGGAAAACTAAGAACATACCTTGGTCAGGTGCCATGCAGAACCATTTTGAATCTTCCAGAAAACACTCAAAAATTCTGTAACTTTATTAACGTTAAGTCTAAAACTGAGTTTTAAGATACATAAAATAAAAGTGACCTTTTCCCCCATTATTATTATCCACCAAACCGAAAGACCCATTGCTGTCAAGTTGATTCTGACTCACAAGAGACCCTTTGGAACAGAACAGAACTGCCCCAGAGGGTTTCTAAAGCTGCCAATCTTTATGTAAATGGACTGCCTCATCTTTCTCCCATGGAGTAGCTGGTGGGTTTAAATCATTAATCTCTTGGTTAGCAGCAGAGCGCTTTAACCACTGAGCTGCTGGAGTGCCTTATTTACTTACAGGATGTATTACAAATATAAAAAAGTTATTTATTTTATTTAGAATACAGTATCAGTCTATTTCATTATTTACCTTTCCCAGTCCTTTGTGAGGACTGAGAAGCAAGTTGGGCTTCCATATTACTGAGGTGCTGTTTCAATGCAGCAATTTCCTTTTGAGCATTTTTTAGTAATTCTTTTGTGTTAAGATGAAGATTCATCTCAGTATCCAGCTGTCTCTTTGTATCCAAAAGTTGAACCTACAAAATAAATAAATAAATAAATAAATCAACCCTACAAACATTAATCTACATTCTTAAGTATCTAGTGCTTCAAGTTTTCTTTCTTACAGACTCTTAAAATTATGGGAGTTGCAATGTACATCACAAAATGTATATGAATTGTTGTATGGAAAACCAATTTTTCTTTGTAAACTTTCACCCAAAATAAAAAATAAAATAACCTTCTGGCCAACATGGAGTAACAGTAACTGAATTTACCCTTCCACCTCATACAACCAAGAAACATTAACACACAAAACATGTGAAAAAATGGTTTTCAAGATACTGGACATTAGACAATGAAGAACACCAATTCCTGAGTCAGGAAATAAACAAAGTGCAAGATGAACCCTATGATTGGCCTCTGTGAGCTGAGGAGACAGATCTGACAGTCCAAAAAGACTAAAGTAGCTTGAGTTCATAGAACAGAATACTAGACATGACAGGGTACAAAGATAAGAGAACCCTGGAGATCTGCAGAGAATGCCCCTTAATTATTCAGCAGAGTACTGATCAGTACATGCATGTGAGACTATCTCAGACCAAGAAAAGAACTATCCAAAGGGATTAAAGTGAACAGTGCCTGGCACTCACGAGTTCTTAATAGTGTCTGTTCTCAGGAGTTAGCAGTCAGACTAGAAAACTTGTAATTCATAGGAAATTTAGTACAGGTCTCAAGAAAGTCTGATCTCAGTAATGAAATCCAGACTGAGCACTGCTCTGTTTCTACCTAATAAATCATAAAAAGAAAGATTTGAAAGAAGAGAAACATTTCTAAGTAACTTTGGTGCATCCCAGAACAAAGATCCAGAATTGTAATATAAAAATATCCAGCACCCCACAAGGTAAAATTCATAAACTCACAGCTGTCGAGTCAGATCTGACTCACAGCAACTCCTCCTTGGGTTTCCAAGGTGTATCACTACGGAAGTAGAATGCCCAACCTTCCTTCTGAGAAGTGGCTCGTGGGTTTGAACTGCTAGCCTTGTGGTTAGCATTCAAATGCCTTGGTACTGAATTCAAAATTACAAGGCACACAAAAAGGTATGGAAAATTTAGTTTTGTAAGAAGCCTCTCCAAACTATTTTAACTTGAGACCGTATGTCCATACCTATATTAATGAAATAGAGACACATAAATGAAATAGAAATTCAGAACTCTGACAGACTTACATCTAAATTTCGCGTAAGTGTATGCCTTTGCTCCACCTCATTTTCCAACTTCTTCTTTAAATGACTTATCTCATGCTCCAGTTTTTCTATCTGGCTACTAAGCCTTTGTTTGGTTTCTGTTTCAGATCGCTCTAGAATCCCCTAAAGACAACACAAGATTTGTGTTTGTGTTTAAGGAAAAAGTGAACAAAGCAATACAAATAAAATAAAAGGCTAAAGGTGAATACAACTCATTTCCACATGATTAAAATTAAGATCTAGAATACTTATCAAGAAAGTTAGCATTTTTCATGTTAAAACATCTATCTGTTAGGGGGGAAAAAAGAAACATTGTAATAGTCACTCAGAATTCTTGGAGTTAAAGAAACATAAAAATCAAAGACTCAAGGTTATAACTAGTTAAGCTATACAAGAACCTGTACATATAGACTCGATAAAAATTGCCAATTGCATGGTTTCAAACAATTCTCTTCTAATTTTTATTCAGAACAACAAAATGTCTAAAAACTCAAAATATAACAAAAGGAACAGTTAACAAATTTGCTAAAGGATACAATGATAAAACTATTTAAACTTAGATAATTTTTCCTCCACATATTCCTTTTTTTCATTACCTGAATTGTTTGCAGATTAGTTAGCAACAAGTTTTGCCCTCTTTGTTCAGCTAATAAAGACTCCCTCTGCTGAGAAAGACGGACTTCTGACAATTTAAGCATTTCCTTTTCCTTCTTCAAATTTTCCGCTCTTACCTTCAGGCAAACAGAGGTGGGGAAAAAAAAGTCAGCAAATGTAACAATACAATGTAAGATTAAAACAATTATCTCATTACCACACATCTTAATGCTAATTAGAGACAATCTCTCTTCAGTATATAAAGAAATATAACTCTTCGTTTCACATTGAAATATGAAGCAAAAATTATTGGGAATACCAATAGATTAAAGGAAAAAATTCTTATTACCACAATCACACAGTATCCTTTTCTCTAACAATCCAGACTTTACAATAATCAGGTAAGAAAAAAAAAAATCTAAAATGGTGAACAACAAAAAAAAAGCATATCCATACTACAGTCTTAACTGTATAATGTTCTATTACGCAAGTTTTACAATCCAAGCCTGGTTTTTAAATATCTGTTTGAAAGTGCTGACTAGTCTATTTTAAATTAAATTTTTTTGTTCATAAAGAATACAAGAACTCTGGGAGAGTACTTTAAAATTTATCAATGTCTTCAAAGTTTTCATATTACTTATGACAAGTTATATAAAACAATCCTAAAAGTCATTCATTGGTTAAAACAAATACTGATGTCCACTCCCTACAATGGGGAATGAACATAATAAAATTGAAATACAGTCAACAGAATTAGTTTCATGTCTCAACCAAGAGTTTCATGCCTCATCCAACCCTTAATTGCATCACTGTCCAAAAATGAGCAAACTACTTAGCTCCTGAACTTCAATTCCTCAAATAAGTTAAATGAGGAAAAACTATCTATTTCACAGAAAATGATTAAAAAAAGATACAAGAAAGAACTTTAAAAGTAACTAATATATAAAAATCACAAAATTCAGTATTCACGTAGAAATATTATTTCAATATTTAAGTTGAAATTCAGAAATACAGTATTAAAGTAATTTTTATACTGTCTTTTATTAAAAATGAACAAAAATAGATAAAATATTCATTTGCCTTTGTTATAACTATAGAAATACTGACTTATTCTGAAATGGAAGATTTGTAAGGAAATCATGCTTTAGCAAGAAAAATGAACTTCTTTCCCTCTTCAATCTTAACAGAAACAATTAGGCCATTAATGCACTATTTGGAAACATATAATAAAAAGCTGCAATCCACAAATCTCTCACATGTCTAAGTTACACCAATCAGTAAATATAAAGTACAGTCATCCCTTGGTTTGGGGGTGTGTAGATTGGGTCCAAGACTCAGCCCGCCTGCAGATAATGTCCGGTTGATCAGGTACGTCCCTTATATAAAATGGCAAAGTATTTGCATATTCACATATAATCTACAAACATCCTCCCACATGTAATTTAAATAATCCCTAGATAATATTCAATACAATGTAAATAGCACTTCACACTCCCTCTTAGCCTATGAATGATTGCTTTGACCACACAATTGTTTTTTGTTACACTGAGTATTTTCAATCTTTGGTTTAGCTGAATCTGTGGATGCTGAACCCATGGATACAGAGGGCCAATGGTAACAACTAAAAATGAAATGTCAGAAGCAATGTATATACAAGCCAGATGAGGGGCTGATCTCACTTCTGCAACAGCTAGCTTTTCATTGGCTCCTCTCAAATCCTGAGTCATAGTATTGATGATCTGTTCCTGTTTCTGAGTTGTTGCAGTCAGTTTCTGATTTCTCTCATGTAGGGATGTTATTTCTCGGCGATATCCTTCAACGTTATCTTGTAGCATTTCATATCTTACATAAAAGAAAAATAATTCTTTAAACAACTGAAATACTATATCCCAGCTTAGTTCCTTGAAGAACTAGACAACAGCAGATGATCAATTTTGTGATTAATATGAAAAAGTGTCCTGTGTAGTAACATAAAATTTCTACTCTTTCTTCTAAATTTTCAATGTAGAGGCTAAATTAAAGTTCCATATAAGTACATATTTCATGATGAATAATTTTTTAATCTTATACATTTAAAAAACTTCTAATCCTAGTCAAGGTAATGTTAATACTATCAAATACTAATCTTTATTTGCAGTATTGATAATGCATCCTTGATCACAACAAAGTACCCAATGTAAGAAATTTATGACATGCCAGTGACAGATTTTTGCCAATTCTTCATCTTAGTTGGAGTGATCTCACTTCTGCAATCCTTCATCTTAGTTGGAGGTTTAGACTAAGGAGTTATTAGCATACAAAAAAGATGGATCTGATTTGGGAGTATGAAACTGCTATATGTATAGGGGTAACTGCCTGCTAAATCTTTACAATAAAAGCAAAAATATCAAATCCACTGCCATCGACTCAATTCCAACTTGCAGCAACCCTTAGGGTTTCTGAGGCTGTAAATATGGAAGTAGACTGGCTCATCTTTCTCACACACAACAAATGGTTTGAATGCTTTTGTAAGTAATCCCTACAAAAGCACTGTTCTACCATATACTCTAAAAATCTACTTTGTTAAGTTTGCTAAACAAGAATTTAATGAATCTAATGCTAAATATCAATGGAATGAAATTACATTATTTAAGTGACCAAAAGAGTGAATTTCCCCCAAATTAACTACACAGCCCACTTTTCTACCTAGAATAGAAAGGCTGAATGAAATTTGCTCCCATTTTTCTCATCTGCTAGTGCAGTTATAAATAATTTAAAACCTAAGCAAACAGTAGGCCCAGGCCCTTCAATCTCAGGAAGGAAAACCAACAATCTAAACTTCAAATTTTTAAGTTACTATATAAGCCCCTTGAGCAATTCCCAGTGGAACCATTAACCAGTATTCAACCTCTATTCCTAAAACATGGTTCAGAAAAAAAGCAACGCTATTATAAATTAAACCTTATCATTTCTTTTGACCTTGTAATTGTCCATTCAAGGACATTTTAATCCACTTTTATTTCCCCTGTCCACAACATTCTTAACTTAAGAGGTCAAAAAGAGCAACTTTTTTTTTGACATATAATATCTAAACTATATTAGCCTTTGAATAAAAGGGAATTTACCGTTTGGAAGCAAAATCTAGCTGGGTAGAAATTTTGGTGTTTTGCGATCGCAAATCTGTAACTTGTTCTTGAAGCTTCTCAAGCTGCTCATTTTGTATCTTTTCATTATCTGTCTTTTCTTTTTTGTAGTTCTCAAAAATTTCCTGTAACTAAATATTAAGTGTTATAAGATGAGATTATGTTCTCTAAGAACCTAACTCAAAGATAAAGATGGAATCTTTACCTGTTTAAGGGCAGCCTTAGCTTCTAAAGCCTCTGCTGACTCAATAACAGGTACTGGAGCAGGAGTGGAAACCGTCTGTGATGTACTTGCACGTTTTGGAGTTGACACAAGAGATGTATCATCTAAATTTGAAGCTTTTAGAAAGTAAAAAGACTGTAGATGCACTGCTGGCTTTCATAAATTAGCTTTAATCTAACATGCCTATTTAATGATAGCATTACTAAAATCAACAAACTAGACTTCTTGAAATGAAATCTTAAGATGATGGGAGTTATAAAACAAGGAATATACTAAACCACCTATTAACAATGTTTTTGTTTTTTGATTAAAGATACTTTAATGTTTGCAGATTAAATGTTAAAACTAAACAAACCAAAATAAATACCACAATGGTCTGAGAGGTACTTCTTTTAAACTGAAGAATTTCTTCTTGGTTTTACATAAAATGATAGGTGTCTTAGAATTTATGACATCTTATATTCAATGAAATATGGCAATCAAATCGAAGCAACCATAATTCAGTAGTTATTACTTAGGTAGCAAAATCAATTTTCTAATACACTTTTCAGAAATATTTCCTTAACATACTTGGAATCTTTTAAGATAGCATATAAATACCCACCTTGTAATGGAATGACAACTCCTGTTGTCTGTGACAACAAAATACGGTACATGTCACGCTGACGAACTATAGAATCAACGAGCTGCATCTGATGATGTCGTGATTCACGGAGTTGTTCCAATTCAATGAGGGAGCTCTCAAGTTTAAGCTGAAGCTCGGTGATTCTGCAGGAAACAAACTCAGTGTATTTCCTAATTCTAAGATTGTTAGGTGATTATAATTTCTCCTGTAAATTAACTAAGCATGTATCATTTAATATTAAACATACAATTTTCATCTCTCTTTTTCTTCTTCTGCTAGTATTTTAGGAATCACATGTCAAACTTCTACCATATAGGACTCAGGCAGTCACCAATGCCATCTGATAGTACTTGTTTGCAAAAAATAGAAACAATTCTACTTAGTCCAAGCTTCAATCTTCTTGCTCTCTTTCATAGCCATTCCTCCTCCACTAGCACCAAACAAATTATCTTTACTTTGCTTGGGTAATTCCTATAATATATATATCTTTTACTACTCAGTTTTGGATCTTCTTCCTAAACTTCTCCTGGCTAGCTTCTTCACCGAGTTTAGGATCTTCTTCCTAAACTTCTCCTGGCTAGCTTCTTCACCGAGTTTAGGATCTTCTTCCTAAACTTCTCCTGGCTAGCTTCTTCACCACTATAAAGGTGCTCCTTTATAGAGCATGCTTTTTCCTATTACAGCACTAATCACACTGCACTAAAATAATCCAATTCTTGCCCACCTCACCCATAAACGGAGGCCCCTGAGAGAATTATCTTGTTCATATATTGCTCAATTTTTGTTTTTCCTCTTTGAAATAACTATGTCCCATTATCCAGGAGAGTTTAGAATGCATAACCAGTATTCAATGCTTATTGAACAAACCGAGGTAGTCAACTGCTTACTTGGATGAAGTTGTTTCTTGTTCTTCTCTTTCTCTAGTTTCCCCAAGTTCCCTAAGAGCCACTAAGAGACGCTGATTTTGCTGTTGAAGCTCTTCAATATTTCTGTAAGATACTAGATGCTGTGATATTACTTCAGACGAACTACTTATATCAGCAGAGCTTACTTCCTCATCACGAATGACATGGTTACCCCTTGCTTCTTCAAGTTCCATCAAAAGCACTCTAATCTAAAAATAAGAATTTAAAATTTTAACATGTTACAAAGTAGCACTAGCTTTAATTCTGAAGATGTTTAGAATAGAAACGTTAAAATTAAAATATCACTTAAGAGACTCCAGGAGAAGGATTAATTTGGGGCTAGCTGGGGCCCACATACTGACATGGGTAAGGGGAGGGATGTATGGAAAGAGTCTGTGACCACCATGATAACATTAGGAAAAGGGAGGACACAGAATTGTGCACATAAGAGACAGACGATAGATGCTAATACCAACCAGTGTGCTCACAATACTGCATTACCATTAACACCAAACACCAGGCTACAGAAAAAACACATAAACACCTGAGAGGATAAGATGGGGGCCAGTGAACAGGAGTATATCTAGACCAAGAATAGATTCAGCTGAGGTTAATCTTGCACAGATACCAGTGATACAAAATACCTGCAATCCCTTCAGAAACAAGAGAAGACAGACATAGAGTAATCCCTTGTGGACACCAGACACTGTGGGAGAGAGATCCAATGGATCTACCATCCCAGGACCATAGTACTGGGGGACACCAGACTCAATTGGCACAACAAAACACATAAAAGCCTTGTTCCTCATCCTACTTTGGTGAGTAGCAACTGGGGTCTTAAAAGCTTTTTCAAGTGGTCATCTAAGATGCACCTAATGGTCTCCTAGCATCAGAAGTGAAGAAGAGTGCAAAAACCAAAAAAAAAAAAGGGCATTTGGAAGCAATCAGCCCTAGGACACAATGGCCCTCGAGACCAGAAGAACTAGATGGTGCCTGGCTACAAATGCCCATCACTCAGGAAAGGATCGAATCTGGAGATCCTGGATAGAGTGGGAGAAGAAACATGGAACAATATCCAAAAACTCAATAATGACCAGAATTACTGGTCAGATGGAGTCTGATGAGACCCCCAATACTATGGTCCTGGGATACATTCTAGACCTGGAATAAAGCTCACTTCCAAGGCCTACCTCTTAGCCCAAAAGTAAACAAGATATACACGCAGACCACTCAACCCAGGGCGATGCACCCACATACTCTTGGTAATGCATCTGTTGGAGCAATCGATCTCGGGGTACCAGAGGGGCAACGTTCACATGGAGGAAATGCAGGACAAACAGGAATGTATAACTATGAGGGGCACAGAGGGAGGGTTACTGAGCAGGGAGGGGAGGAGACTGGGTTAGGGTTGGGCATGGTAAATGGAGAGTGAAACTAAATGTACACATAATGTTGAATTATTGAAAAGAAAATATGACTTAAAATAATCTCATTTGCATTACTTGAAATTACTACCATAAAAAACAAAGCATCAAGCTTTATCATTTAAAAAAACCCAAAAACTAAAAACTCACTGCTATCAAGTTGATTCTGACTCATAGTGACCTTCTTGGGTTTCTGAGGCAGTATCTCTATGGAAGTAGACTGCCCATTGCTCAGTCTTCCTTCCGAAGAATGGCTGGTTGGTTTGAACCTCCAGCTTCTGGCTAGCAGTCAAAATACCCTAGGTACGATGCCACCATAATTTATATTATCAAAGAAAATTTTTACGAAGTGATGGTATTTTTAATTTCTCAGCAAGAGTGTAATAAAACCTTTTTAGAAAGTGGCCAAATTATAACTCCAGAAACAGGGCGCCACTTTTGTAAGATAATGACCAAATATAAAACCCACATAGAAATATTTTCTAACTTGTGTGTGCACTTATGTATGTATTGTATGGCAGGGCAGGGAGAGAGTGTGGAAAATAAAGTTTTACGTAAAAAGCAAGAATCCAATGCCATTTATATGAAATTTTTAGGTACGTATATTATTTGCGTGTATATATGTATGCATACTCATAAAAACCAGGGGGAAAAATATAAATGCAACAGATCTGCATTTAGTGCTTGTTAAGTAAAAAAAAAGCAAGAGGATGGGTAATGCATATAGTATGATTTTATTTCCATAAAAACAAATGACTATGAAATATGTTAGCATGTGCTCTGTGTATCATGCATATTAAAAAGCGGTGGAAGGTTATGCAAGTCTGTTAACTTGGTTACGGTCAGGGACAGTGTAGGGGAAAAGATTTTTATTCACCTTAGAATTATTTATTAAATCTAGCACCTATAATTTGAAAATTTATCAAACATTTTAAGGAAAAAAGGTGGAAAAGGCAGATTCTATGAAAAAATCAGGGGTACAACTGTGCTATAGTATATTAGAATCTCTTATGTGGTAATTCTATTTTAGAAACTCATATATAAATTTACTTAACAAGAGTCATAAGTTGTAAAGACAGTGTGACATTGTTACTGGGCAGGCAGTCTAAAAATCAAAATATACCAAACGGAAAAAAAATTCTAACCTGCTGTGAAAGATCTTTTATTTGTATTTCCATTCTTTGATTATCTCTTTCAAGCACAGAAGAATGTTTATTTGCTTTATCAGTGTCCTCCCTCAATCGCTGAATCTCCTTTAAAATGTAAATTTAAATAGAATTTTAAATGACTCATCTAGGAATAACAAAAGCACAGTGCTCACATATCACAGAAATCAGCTCTTAAACTGAAAACATTTTATATAACATAGTAGCTTCTAAAACAGAGATATTATTCTACATAAATATGAACATACATATTCCTTAATATCACAAATCCTGCCCATCATCAAATGAAAATCAGAGGGAATTTAGCTCTTACCCTTATCCCATTCATTGTCAATTAAAATCTTATAGCCACACCAAATTCATAGCATATTATTAATTGACATCTCAGAAATACCCTCAAGAGTTTCGTCCATGAGACAAAAACATAGGACTAAACTGCTGTTAATAACCACTATTACACAGGTCATCTGAAAACACATATAAGAAGTAAAAAACAGGCAAGTAACAAACATGAGGTAAGAGTCATTAAAGACTTGCTTTATAAAGAAGGCATCAGAATTATTTAAGACATTGGCAGCAGCCAATGTCATAAGGCTGTTAAAAATAAAATTATAGATTATGTAGCACTTTGCAAAGTGTCACATGAACAATATCATGGGGCGATTTAGAGGTAAAGTTTTAAAGAGAAGGCTACAAGCATAAAGTTCTCTCTGTAATCTATAAAGTTTTATTTGAAATTCACGCTCTTTTATACCTTAATGTGTTGTTTTCACATAAATGTTCCAATACTACAAGTCAAAGGCCAAACCAAAACCAAACTCTGCTATCAAGTCGGATCCAACTCATAGCGACCCCTCATGGGTTTCTGAGGTGGCATCACTATAAAAGCAGATTGCCCAGTCTCCCTTCCGAAGAGTGGCTGGTAGATTTGAACCGCCAGCCTTCTGGTTAGCAGTTATGCCTTAGGCACTATGGCATATTTATCCTGGCATTCAAGTATCTTTCAGGACACTGCCCTAAAGGTATACCTAACCCAATTTCAGTAGAAACAAAAATATGAAAAAAATGAAGGAGGCAAACATTCATGAAAGAAAAGCTATTTAAACGTAGCATTTGAAATGTACAAATCTACTGAGATAAAATTGGAGTATGACGACAAGGAAGGAAGCAACTTGGTCATGAAACCATAAGATCCTTCCTAACAAATGAACATGAAAAGAACTAGACTGCAGGGGACATGATATGCTAAGGACAGAAGGTTCAGCTATAAAGATGCAGAAATTACATTTCTCAGCAGTCACGGGGGAAAAAAAATAAGATTTTTATTATTACTGTTACTGTATACTCAATGAAGAAGTAAACAGCTTTTTTCTACAATTAACAGCTACTGTTACCTAACTGCTTTCGACCTCACTATCTCCCTACAAGGAGAATCTAAAAAGGAAATACTTCTCTAATGTACTTGGAAATTTAACTTAAAATAAATCATTTGGGAATGATGTAAGAATCTGTACTCTAGCAGCAACTAAACCCAAGTGGTAACAATAAGAAACCAAAGAAGACCTAATTGGATACAAGGGGCTTCTTTTTAAACCACATTGGGGGAGGAATGCTGTCAAAAAGCCAATACTCCCAGCCAGGGAAACATCATTTGAATTCCTTTGATTCAGGAGGAAGAGTCCATTAGATACAAACACTTGAATTTAGGATGACCTGTAAATTACAATCCACAATAGCAGTAGAGGTTTAATTCTGAATTAAAAGAAGCTACTATCTTCTTCAAAGAGAAAGAAAGACAGAAATAAATTTCACTTTGGAATAAGACACAAATTGATTTTATAAATAAAATTTGTTTAAAGTAGCTATTAAAAAGTAATCTTAAAATTTATTACTTTTTACAAATTTTTTTGGCACTTCTAAAATGCAAAGAAACAGTAAAACAATAATGCATGTAAAAATTTGCCAAATTGTGAAAGAATTTAAAAACAGGAGTCTTGTGGTCAAACAATGTATTATTTCTAGACAGAATATCACAACTATTTGACAAAGAATAACATGCTAAATTTGGGATAATTCTATTAGAAAGAAAGATTATTTTAATTTGAAAATTGGCAAAGGTGTTTTGACTATTTTCCACTAGAAAACCTAAGGATAACATAATAAATAGCTTCAAAAATGTAAAAGGTTCTCTTCATTTTAAGTGACAAAAAACAGAACTTTTTGTGATTTGAGCTATTTAACAATGCAATGAGAGGCTTCAAACTAAAATTATCATATCACAGAAAAAGCCTATTTGGCTTTTTCTAACTGAAATACTTAAGAAATTAGCTAATAAATAATCTCTCATTTGTATTTTTTCCAATTAAAATTTAGGAATGGAACCAACCTTCATAGCTTGTTCAAGTTTAACAGATAAACTTGCCACAGCTTTCTGTGCACGTTCATACTCTTCTCGCTGGCGTTTCAAAATCGGTGCTTTGGCTTCAACTTCTTTCACTATTTCATCTAGATACTTATTAATTCTTTTGTTCTCTAGTTTCTCCAAAAGCAACTGATCCTGTGTTTCCACATAAGCATTATACAGCTGAAAGTAGAAGAGGTATCTTTTCAGATCTAAGCACCAAAGAAGTATGTTGCCACTCTAGCTTCATCATAAACATTCTTCAGCTGTTATACAAGATGAATGTGTTTCTTATATGCTCTACAGATTCATGAATCAAGAAAGCCTTTCCTAGAGTGATACATTACTCATCAGATGATTTAAGAATATTTTTTCTGAGGATTAAGGTTTCAGAGAGATCTGAACACTACTGTTCAGAAAAATAATAGCAAGATTTAATATCATCCTTACCTCAGTTAATTTCATGCCAGGTTTCACTATCTTAGCTACAGCTGCTGCAGTAGGAGACATGGCTGCAAGTTCTTCTTCAGATAAAATGGCTCCTGTGCCATACACACAAATTTAGCATATTTTTATGAAACTGCCAATTAAAACCCACTATTGTTTTTCAAGATAGTAAAAGGTTAAGTGACCTCTACTGTACAATACATATTAACTCTTATGAAGATTTTAAAATGAGACATTCAATAGTCATATAACACAATCAAATCCTAAAAATCATGTAGTAATTACCCTTAAGACTATCCTGGAAACTGGCATACAATTTTGTGTGCCCCACTAGTACTAATAACTGACAATCCAGTACATATACAGCTAAGGATATTAATTTTAAAGTAAAAAACACATTTCAATGATATAACTTAATGGGATTACCCCAATCACAGCATAACAAAAACACTATTAGTTAAATTAAACGACTACTACATAGAGAAGTCTTAATATTTCAAACCATTAATAAGCATCTATTGTGCATACCTTTACGTTTTGTGGCAGAAAGCAGGTCATTTGCATTCTCCAGTTCTTTCTCCAATTTTCTTATTTTCTCAACCATTTCTTTTTCCATTTGATCTTTAGATTCTTCCACCTCTAGAAGATGATCTTGTATTGCTTTGTTGGCTAAAGAATTTTTAAAGGCAGAATACCAAACACATAATTATGATCTTGCAACTTATAAAACATAGAACAATATTCATTATTTTTTCCCTTCAGGAGACATTAAATTCTAAAAAGGCTGTGGCTGACAGTTACCAACTGAAAACTCCCTGTACTTAGAACTCCTCAAGTGCCCTTGCTTGGTAAGTACGTTTCCCCTCTTGATGCTTTTTACCCAAAGGGGAAGATAAAGGAAAGTCAAATCGTAAAACAAAGTTGCTCTAGGAAGATCTTTGGTTTCAATTTTGATGTTTAGCCTGAAGTAAAGAAAATGAATGGATGAAACCATGCATAACTACCTTATACTACACAAAAAGCAAGAATTTATGGACATCGAGAACTTTGCAATACCCTATTGATAATATACAAAAATTAAGACTTACTTGATTTAATATGTACAAGCTATAAATCCAAATGCACTAATCTAAGTAAATGTTTCAAAAATTAAAGAAATTTTCCCATAAGAAATCAGAAAATCATATATACATAAGGCTATTAGATGAAAGAAACAAATAACTATATTTCCAAATACAGTATTTGCTGAATATACAATTGAGTTTCTTAAAAGCTCTTTTATCCATGTCAATTTTGTCCCTCATAAATGTTAGTTTGACCTCTAAATCCAACAATCTACACACAAATGTAAAGAAAAAAGTGACCTTCCACTGAATAACAAGATAGTATTTCCCATAATTGTAAACCCTCACCTTCACCAGCTTCTTTCAAAAGTTTGTGTAGTTCATCCACTGCCCGGGTCAGTTCATTGCTTTTTGCTTCTGAGTCATCAGCAGCACTCTAAAAGTTAAGCTTAAAGGTTTACTTCATAGCCATTAATGCAAGATTAGGATATCAAGTATGTGATGTAAGATTTACCTTGTACAAGTTAGAGAGTTTTATATGAGCATTCAATTCATTGTGGAATTTCTCTTCCATATTGGCCTGCTGTTCCTTGGCCTGAAAAAATAACCCAATTATAGCAGCCTAGTTTGAACAAAATTTAAAATTTTTATCACACGCTAAGATAAAAAAAAATCTATTTTGTAATGTAGGAGAAAGAGATTAGAACACTAAAATTTTTAAAATCAGACAAAGATGTACCACTTGATGGGTAAAATATTAATCATAGTTTTATTTTAAACAGAATAGTTAAGTGATATTAAAATTAACCCATACTGATTTTTTTAGATAGTGTGTTCTGGATACAGCATGTAACTGCTATTTCTGATTTTAGCCATTTTAGCCTAGCTACATTTAGTCTGGCAGTGTTATGGTACCTGGTACAATTTAAAACTTGACACCATTCTGTAATCAGCTTCATAAATGCTGTAATATTTTTGTACAAGTGAGTATCTATACCTCTTTCAATTTGGTCAACAGATCCTCTACATGCTTCTGAAGATGCTCATTTGATGTTTTCAAGCCATTCATCTGTTCTTCCATTCTAGAAACCTGGAAACATAATGCAGAGTAGGGGAATATGTGATGTAAACCGAAATTAATTTGATATGAAGTGTATGCTGACAAGCAAAAGCAAAACAACCCCTTCGGGGGAGAAAAATTACATAAAACATGTACATTTAGGAAAATGAAACTCATGGAACAGTGAGTCTGGATTTAGCTCACAAAAACTTATTACTGTTTCTTAAACATATGTCTTAGGAAAAATACATCATATGGTAGTACCAAGATTCATCAAAGAATATCATAATTTTTTTATTTAATGCAGTTTTGGTTTCTTGGGCTAAACATTAACATGAGTTAAGTCCTTAATATTTCACCCCTGATCTTATCATACACTTGAGACCACTGAATAAATTTTTAATAAACTGGAACACATAAATAAGCTGTACCCTATATGGAAAAAATATAATTTTACTATATTTACCTCTTCTTTTTTGTTTTCCAGATTACATTTAAGCTCTAGGATCTCATTTCCTTTTTCTCTGCCAAGGGCAAGAAGTTCATCGGTTTTGGTTTTTAACTCTGTATTCAGCCATGTATTTTGATTATGTAGTAATTCTTTCTCTTGCTCCAAACGTTTCTCTCGATACTAAAGAAAGCCAAGAAAATAAAGCTTATAGTCATTCCATATGGGCATTCAAAAAGGCTGTCTATAGATAAGAGACACAAGCAGAATTCCATTTTAAAATATAAGTGTATATATTCATTGATTCCTGACTACCAGGAAAAAACAGCAGGATAAGAAAAACAAAATAAATTTCATAACCAAAAAAGTTCAATTAAAAGTGGCCTAATATGCCAGTCTCTGACAATAAAAATAAAACATAGCTTTTACCTACATTAACAGATATTTAATAACCTATGTATATTTAAAATTTAATTTAGTTAAGTTTTGCTCAAAAACAGTATTTTGTGAATCAGGAATCATTTGTCACTTACCTTAACAGAAACATCAGAAGCTTGAAGTTCATCTAATTTTAACTGAAGTTCACCCTTTGTTGTATTGCTGTCTTTAAGCTTTTCATTTAAACGTTTAACATCCTCTAGAATTTGAAAATAGTGAGTAATTAGGACTTTGTGGACACAAACATCAATAATGTTGTCTCTAGAAATAAAAACATTTAATACAAAGTAGTTCTCAATTCTATTTTAACTTGTTTATGCCATACTTAATCAACAATTTAATGTTAACCAATAGGTTAAAAATCAAGTAAATTCATGGACTCAGGCAAGCAAATTAACAATATTGGTTATTTTAAACACAGCAACTTAAGCTAAACATTCAACATCAACCCTAATTTTCCTGATATATACCCTAAGATCTACTGAAGTTTTTAGAAATCGCTATGAGTCGGGGCCGACTCGATGACACATAACAACAACAACAACAAAGTTAAGTTAAAAAGTCAATGATGCACATAAAAACCTTCACCTCAAAACAGAGTATACATGTTTAATTTTCTTTATATTCCCTAACATCTAGGTTTTTATGAAAAAAATTCCTCTAATTTTACCTACTTACTAGCTGAAAAACATTAACAAATACTCTGATGTAACTCTTTCTATGACTGGAAGTAGTTACTTAATTAAATGTTATTGTATAGCAACATAAATATCTGAAAATTCTTCTCTTTTTCTTCTATAATTTTCAAGAATTTTGTTAAAAGGAACCAAGGAGAACTTGATCTCATTAGCTCTAATACTTAAAACTCATGTTCACCTGAATACATCAGATGTACTGTATAGTACATTCTGGGTTTATTATATCCTATATTTACTTATTTTTTATTTCTAATTCCTAACCCCTTTCAGTCTATCCATTTTTAAACATGGTCTATCTTTTTGGGTTTTATATTGAATGCTTATGGATAAGAAGTGTGTTTGTATAAAATAAAGGAATTCAACCTTTACAACTGAACATTCAAATTACTTCCAATTTGTTATTACAAATAATACTGTAATAATAATATGTGTGTGTATACATATATATACTACATGTAAGCCTTGATATAAAAATTACTTGAGGTGAGTTTTTCATTTGTGCACTTCAGTAGGAAATAATAAATAGATTATTCTGAACTCTATCTTGAACTATCAGTATAGAAACATCAGCAACAGAAATGAACTAGGATTAACCTCTAACACTTCTAGGAGAGAAAGGAAGGAAAGAGGCTGGAGACTAAAGCACTTCTTAGTGATGTTTATTCTTCACACCTGTTAAATATTCAAGTTCTTGAGATAGTCTCTCATTGGTTCTAATTAAGTCTCTTTTCTCAGCTTCTAATTCTTCCTTTGTTCTTGTAAATTGGCTCTGTCATAGAAAAGAATAAAGGTAACAAATTTAAATAAGAAAACCGAGTGAGTCAATCAATACAGGAATTAGAATACAAAATTGGCACTTTAGTTTACATTACTTCCATTTAAAAATGGTTATTCTTTTTCATATATCTTATATATCGAAACCTTAAAAATTACCCATAATCCCAACACTTGTGTTCATACTCTGGATTTTTCTAATTACTCTGACTCATACAAATTTGTCCCATGTTCCTCTGATTGTATGGAAATGTTCTAATTACTTAAACATGTCTATAAAATATTTGATTTGCTTTTAATTTTTTTCTTGTAACATTTCAACAACTACCACTGGATTTACAACTTGGTTCTACTTACTTCTCAAAAAAGATTCTTAGAAATGAAATTACTTAAAATAATCGTAATACATATTTTCAAATTGCTTTTCAGCAAAACAGTAGAATTTTATGCATTTCAGTCATAAGTGCGAGTCTCAAGTCAACCATGTCAGAAGTGAAAATTATTACAAAAGGAATGAATATAAGGAAGAAAGCAAAGGAGAGAGAAAAAGAAACTGATGTTAAGGTAGGGAGGGGAATAGCATCTTCTGCCCCCACCCCCCACATCTTTCTAATTAAAAGTTCTGTAAAACAACTTTTATATTGCCACTGGTCATTTGTACAGCTTTCTCTCTGATACTTACACATATATGAATATATATATAAACGTATATACACACATATACATGTATACATATGTACCTACACACGTGTTTTCTTTTCCTATTTCCCCCTTGAATTATTTTATGATTTGAAAGCAGTTATTACGTTACTGAGGCAAAATGAAATGAAAAAAAACTTTTTAAATCATTTATTTGCATTTTAGTTTTTAAATGGAGAGCCTAAAGCTTTTACTGGATAAAGTATCACTATCATTTAGTTTTAACACTGTATTTATGTTTAGAAATCCTTTCTCAGTCAGGAGTCAAATAAGTCATATTATTTTCTGTTTCATGTTAATACTTCATATTTTAATAATCTGATCCAACTAGAAATTATCTGGAATAGAGTGAGGTCAGGTAGTATAGTGCCTAAGGAACTTGAATGCTAACGAGAAGGCTGGCGGTTCAACCCCAGCCCCCACACTCCTCAAAAGGAAGGTTGGGCAATCTACTACCATAGTGATACTGCCTCGGAAACCCAAGAAGGGATTGCTGAATCGGGTCCAATTCGACGGCACATAACAACAACAACAAGACTAAGGTCAAGGTCTGTCTTGATATTCTAATCCATACTTCTCATCAGCCAATTGCTCAAATATAATTGGTAAAAATAAATCTAAACATCTGAAATTGCTTTGAGTTACTTTTACTTTACTTTGAAATATAGAATTCAAGTGTTTGTGGATTCCAAGCTAAAGAAATCCTAAAACGGCAAATATTTATGTGTGCACGTGCATGCTATGTTACCAAAATATAGACCTAGTTTTAGTTGATTCACAATTTGTGACCACCCATCCATACCCCTCCAAAAAAAGTTAAGATCCTGTATACAGGGTTTATTTCTTCATTATATAGTTTTATTGTTCTCTATGGTCTTACACGGGAGCTCTGGTGGCAAGTCAAGTGCCTAAGGCATTTGACTGCTAACCAGAAGGCTGGCACTTCAAACCCACCAGCCACTCCTTGGAAGGAAGATTGAGCAATCTATTCCACAGAGATACCACCTTGGAAACCCAAGGAGGGGTCGCTATGAGTCAGATCCGATGCAATGGCAGTGAGTTTGTTTTTTTTTAAATGGTCTTATACAAATTTCTACATGCTTTAATAATCATACTTTACAAAGCATTGTAATAGGAGGCTAGGCAAATACTTTTAAGAGGGTAGTTTTCCAAAATTATCCAATTGATTACCTCCTGTTTATTTTTTCCAATCACCTTTAGAACTTACAGCATCCAATTTAACTTATCTTACTTGGGTATAGTCAAAATACATTAAATCAACACATTAATTTGGAAACTCTTCCCATCAAGGAATATGCTATATGTACCTCTGGTTTTATTAAGGGACACTTCTGTAGCTTTCAGTAAAGTATCTGAATTTTCCTTATGTAAGTACTTATCTCTTTTACAAGGTATTTCTAAGTATATTATGGAGTTTGTACATCTAGTGAGTCTTCCTTTTATAGATTTAAAGAAATTACTTTTAATTCAATATGAAATCTTTTACTTTCAAATCAAATGTAAATTTTAAGAGTCTAGCTTTCTTGATGTAACTACATTATTAAAGAAATTGCTCAGCAATTCTTGCAATCCCTAACGTTATTTTTATCACTGCTTAAAAGAAATGGCTATTGCTGTGGAAATCATCTAAATTCCAACGACATAAAAAGACCTGGAACAACAACTGGACCATAGTAAGCACTCAGTGGATAACTACCAAGAGAAACAAAGGTAGATAAGCAGATACGTAGGCAGAGAGATGGATCCTCAAAATTCCATCCTATGTGAAGCTCTACAGTACTTTACTTTTCGTGAGAATTCAAAAATATCACAACCCAAGGACTACAGGCTAAAGGTAAATTGTTTTTATATCTAGTAGCAATATACTCTAATGGTTAAGAGGAATGCCCAATCAATAAAATATATAAAGATCCAATTAAAAAAATGTATGTTTTTGTTAGGAAATTTTCCTAGTAAGATGCTTCATCTTCGCATTGACTAAATAACTGATAAACACATACTTCCTCAAGTATTATATTTATAATTAGCTTTATCCACATGAATAATACTTTTACCTGAATGGCAATATTACGATCGTGAGTAATTTCAAGTTCTTTGTTTTTCTCAGTTAGTGCCTTCAGTTGATTGTCTGGATAAGAGAAATTTTATGAACATACACACATTAGCATAGGAATTACAATAACAGACACCAAAAGACATTTTAAAAATGAGGAATCTGAGGCTGCAAAAGACTGAGTTTTACAAAATCACATTTCAAAATTCGCTACATTCCTAGATCAAAATCTGAAATGTGCTACCTTGTCTCAAAAAGGGGCATTTGTGACAATTCTTGGCAACACTTACAGGAAAGAGCACATGCAATCAGAAAATTCCTTAATTTTCAATGGCATCCTCTAAATCAAACTATAAAACAGTGATTTACATACACCAAACCAAATCCATTGCTGTTGAGTCGATTTGACTCATAGCAACCCTAAAAGACAGAGTAGAACTGCCCCATGGGGTTCTGAAGACTTTCTTTAGGGAAGCAGACTGCCAAATACTTTTCCCAAAGCAGCTGATGAGGTTGAACCATCAACCTTTTGATTTTGAAATGATCAATTCCTCAATCTCCATTCATTACGGGTTATCTTCCCTTACACGGTTTACTTTCTAAACATACACAAAAAATTAGGAAGAATATATTTTTAAAAATGTTCTTCTGCTAAACCATATATATGGTATGTGCTGGCAACTGAATGAACAGATACATTACTACTTTCAATCTTAACTTACATGTACGTTGTTTGTCGTTACGTGCCGTCGCGTCAGACCCAACTCATAGCAACCCCTTCTTGGGTTTCCAAGGCAGTATCACTACGGAAGTAGATTGCCCCATCTTCCTTCCGAGGAGTGGCTGCTGGGTTTGAACCGCCAGCCTTCTGGTTAGCAGTCAAGTGCCTTAGGCACTACGCTGTGTATACAACTGGCTTACCTAAAAAAACTATTCACTAAAATTTTCTATTTTGTTTTAAAGCTGTTTTTTTGCTTTCCAGCCTTACAGATCTGAGCTCTAAATTAAAAATACAAATATAATTCTACACTCCAAGGGAGGCATTGTATCTGCCTTCATCAAGCCAGTTATAGCCCTAGCTTTCTCTTTTTCCAGCTCTCATAATATGTAACCAGAGGCATTTTTCTGAAATTCTTTAACACCACTGCTGAAGATAACACTATGAACAGATGATGACCCAAATCTACTCAGTATTTATATCTCAGATGTACACATGTGATTTTATACACACACACACACACACACACACACACATCTTTAAAATGAGGTATTCTCAATAGTTGCAAAAGCAGCAAAAAAAATGTTACAACTCTGACAAATAGATAACAGCATGGACCTGCTAACAGGTAAGGTTATTTTAACCTGTTCCTTGATTATTAGCTACCTATTTTCCTTCCCCAACAACCTAAATAAAATCTAGCAATATCTAAAACAGTAGTGTCTACTCTTTCAGAAAGATGTTAACAATTGCTTTTTTCAATTGTATATAAAAAGCATATGGCACATCATCCTCCCAAGATCTGTCAGGAACTTTAACTAAGATACTGTGAACTGTCTAGAAAATAACGGTAAGAAACCCAAAAAGGAAAATAGCTTTCACAAGAACTGAGCTTTAAAGAAGAAATATCATCCTGAGATTCACTCACAGAATTAAAACATAAATGTGCTAGACTCTCCAGCATTGCTTGGAAATCATTTTAATGAACACGATGGCCAAGGTCCAGTACCAAAACCCTTTCATTTGCTCTGTGGATTTCTACATACACAGACACAAAAACCATAAATGTGCTAAAATTGAATTAACAGACTTTATTCAACATAAAAAAAAATTATTCTCTTTTTCAGTTGCTTAATCCTTTAGCCTTTTCAAAATGCTTTCAAACTATCACAATTGCTCTATAAGGCTATGTTAAGTAGATGGACTTGCAGATCTAGGTATTTTACAGTAATAGTAAGACAGTGATGTAATTTATAAAATAACTTTTAATAGCAAAGTTAAAATTAGAATCCAGGCCTCCTGACCATTAGCCCTATGCTCTTGTAAAGTCTTTACCCTGTGTGGAAAAAATAAAAAATCCCAAGTGAAAAAAATAATTCGTTGTTGTTATATACCGTTGAGTCTGACCCAACTCATAGCAACCCTTACTTGGGCTTCCAAGGAGTTATCACTACGGAAGTAGATTGCCCAACCTTCCCTCTGTAGAGTGGCTGGTGGGTTTGAACCGCCAGCCTTCTGGTTGGTAGTCAAGTGCCTTAGGCATTACGCTACCAGAGCTCCTGAAAACAATGATAGTAATCTGTATTTCCACATTCAGGAAATAAATATTTTCAAAGCATAGTAGAAGGGTTTGAAAATCTCAATATTCTAAGAATACTTATTAATGTGTCATTCAATACTTACTGAGTTTTTCTAGTTCAAGCCGCAAGTTTTGGCAGTCTCGGGTTTCATTCACCAGTCTTTCCTGACTGTGGGAAAGCCTCTTCTCTATCTCGAAGTACTGTTGTTCTACAGAAAAGAAAAAAATAAAATCAACCATACACGTATACATGTTGTCAACACTGCCAACTTTAATTTTAAAATTCAGAATACTGTAAAAGATATACAGTATTGAAATTGTATCCCAAATGGAAAATTTGACTCAAGATAAACAGACCAAGCAATGGAAAGAGCTTCATCTAACATTTACAACTGACTTGTATGAGAAGAGAAAATAAGGCATAAAGTGGTTCTACAATTTATGAACATCTTCAATATGCCTTATTTATTTTAACAATTTTCTCTAGATATCAGTAGACCATTTGGCATAAGGCAGAATTAAAAAAATAAACAAAAATATATACACATGTGAAAAAACTGTTTAGCTTTGCTTTACAAGGTTTGCTTTACAATAACCAAAATAATACTTGAGAAGCTATTAGTGTAGATTACTAGAGTATTATATTACTAAATTCATGTAAAAATAAAAATGTGTATTTCCCAAGAGACTGAATCTGGTTTAGCATAATATCAAGTACGAAGCAGAGAGGCAATCTTCATTGTGGACTTAATGAACAGAATGCAGCATACTTCGTTCAGCTTTGGGATTCAGAGTGCCGCCTAATTTTCAACATCAATTCTGCTTGATAATTATACTTCTTCAAAGCAAAAATGTATTCAGAATTTGCCACTTAACAACAACAAAAAAGTACAAACTCCCCCAAATGGTAAACTAAGACACAAGACAGAAAGGTTGTATTTTACCAATTGTAAAAAATTTCCTAACCTTCAAGGTTGGTCAAGTCACAACTGTCCTAAGGCGTCCTTATTTGAGGGTCTACCAAAGTTACTTATAAACAGGTCTTTACTTTCTATTAAACTCCAAATTTTAGAGAGAAACTATTGTATTAAACTTATCTACTGCACATGCACTACGTTTCTAGCACCGTTATTCACCTAAACCATTTTTGTCACTATCTAGTTGAACCACACAGTGGCACACACACCAAGAACTAGGGCATGAAGTGATCAGAGGAAGGACCTCGAATGCAGGCAACTAGAAAATAAAGGAAACAGGTTAGGTATTCTAAGCTTAGAAGATAATGAAAGGGAAAATAAAGATAGATAAAAGTCGCCATCTGAGGCAAGTCTGGTATAAAGAAACCAAAACAGTCACACACACAACAATGGAACTAAGTGCAAATTAAGATTAAAAAAAGAAAAGTCCTTATCAAACTGTGAAAGGAGTAAGAAAGAACAGGCCGAGGGTTCCTAGGCAGCACGGAAAACGATGCTACTACTCAGGGTCGTAGAAAAAATGTGAGCTAGCAAAGGGAAAAATACTAGAAGAACTGAGAACAAAGGCGGAAAATACGTTTCACTTACCGCTCTCCACCTTGAATTTTTCGTGCCGCCCCTTAAGGCCATCGATCTCCGATTGTTGATCAGCAAGGAACTTTTCAAGTTTGTTCTGGACGGACTTAGGTAACTTGTTCAGCTCCGTGCGCTCCAGGACTTGCTGCAACACTGCCGCCATGTCGGCCGTGGCAGGGGCCGCAGCAGCCAACAGAGGAGAGGTGAAAAAAGACGAAGACCAGAGCCCAGAAGCCTGGGCCGTCGCGTCCGTCTCCTCCCTTGGTGGCTCCCGCGCGCCTGCCCGCCGCAGACTCCCGCGGCGGGACCCTGGGAAATCGAGTACTGCTCTAACAGTGGCACAACGCTACCCACACAGCCCGCGCCCAAAATGCGCGCGCAGCCGCCGGGGGCTGTGCAGCCTGGGAATTCGAGTTCAGAGAAGGCGCCTGACCCCCACCGTACACTCCAATTTCCGGTTCCCCTTTCCACCCACTGCAGGAACACAGGCTTCTGGGAAACGTAGTGTTTTCCACAATCCTTTCCAAGAGCCCAATCCCGCACCGCCCATTCCGTTTCCTCCTCTCTCCCCGTACTCCGACTCTCCTTGCCCAGTAATATTCCGTTGTCCGCGCGGTGGCGCCACAGACGTACTCGTCAACCGCGTCCCTCCCTGAAGAGCTGAACGACCCTTACCCTCAAAGCCCCGAGATGTCATGGCTCGTCCTCTTTGGCGGTTTCTAGACACTGAGCCACTAGAGGGCATCGGTCCCAGCAAGGCCGGACAACAGGCGCCGGGCTACCGCCACTCTCTCAATGGCGCCCGGAAGGGGGCGGGTTGGCGACCGCAGTTGCTTTGGCAGAGGCGCTGTACAGGGAAGGGAAGGGGCGGCTGTACGTCATCAGTCTACGCCACCAAACTCCGAAGACCCCGAGTTTAGGGAGGGAAGTCGGTCGCTTTCTGATGAATTCATTGCCTGTAGCGCTGGAGGGAAATCTGTCCCCCCCACACCAAAGCCATCACTCTGAAACCTCTACTGCCGCATACTGACAGTTCGACCGGTTTATCTGCCACGAGTGCACGTTGTAAGTACAGGTGAGTTAGTTTAAGGGTATAATATTTACTGATGTCTGGGTTTATGCGGACTTGGATACAGAAAGATCCCTCTTCAGGGGAAAGAGGAGGGGACAGAATGTAGGAAACGTGTGGACAGACATGGCAGTACACACCCAAGTCCGGCTGTGACAAACTTCTCTTATTTGAAACAGCGTAACCAGCTGCCATTGATTAATTGGTTCTGGGTGATTCAGCGTTCAGGGGCCCGACTAATTTTTTCAGAAAGAGGCTTTTAAAAAAGCAGGAGTTGAAAACCTTATAGAGCACAGTTCTACTCTGACACACATGGGGTCGCTGTGAGTGGAATTGACTCGAGGACACCAGATTTGGTTTATGTTGTAATGTTGCATAAAGATTTCGACATATTTCTGATTGGTAGTACGCTATGAGTCGAGTCGACTCGACAGCAGTGACGTTTTTTTTTGTTTTTTTTTTAGTACTGTATATTGATATTTTTTGAAATTTAAAAGAATTGTAAAAACTTTGTGAAAGAAGTTTTCTAACACATTTTTAGCAGCTCTGGTAGCGTAGTGCCTAAGGCATTTGACTGCTAACCAGAAGGCTGGCGGTTCAAATCCACCAGCCACTCCTCGGAAGGAAGTTTGGGCAATCTACTTCTGTAGTGATACTGCCTGGGGAACCCAAGGAGGGGTCGCTATGCGTCAGAACTGACTCCACAGCAGTGAGTTTGGTTTTTGGTTAACACATTTTCAGAAACCACTTCTCACCCTTCCACCATAACAGGAGTTAGGACTTTATTTCCAAATCGTAATTCGGTGTCTTTTAAGCTGAATGTGTAGGTTCTAACTTGCTGGATTCTTCATTAAAAACAAGATGTTTATGTTGTCCTTCCTGCAAGTCCCACGGTCTTAGGCCTTTTGTGAACCTGTGGTATTCTGACATGAAAGTTTATTCACCTTTTCTTCACTTTTTTCTGAATTGGTAGCTGTGAAAACATCTAAGAAATATAAACTGACACATTTAACTTATATTTTGTTGTAACTAAAAAAAAATGTTAATGAGGAGCTTAATGTTGATTATTTATATCTTCTATAAGTACTTTAACAAGGCTCCGGGAATTGATGGCATACCGATTGAGATATTTCAACAAACAGATGCCCCATTGGAGGCACTCACTCAGTTATGCCAAGAGATTTGGA